CCAGCACTTTGGGAGGCTGAGGAGAAAAGATGGCTTGAGCCCAGGAGTTCGAGACCAGCCTGGGCAAGATGGCAAAACTTCATGATTACAAAAAAAATGTTTTTTAAAGAGTCGGTTGCAGTGGTACAGGCTTGTAGCCCCAGCTACTCAGGAAGCTGAGACATGAGAATCTCTTGAACCCAAGAGTTCGAGGTAGCAAGTTTCCTCTGAGTTCCTTGGTTAAATTTGCCAGAAGGAGAAAGGGACAGGATTATCCAAATTATCTGGATGTTTAACACCACTTGCTTTTCTACCTATGACCTTCTTAAGCTGCCTTTGGAGGTCTGAGGAGGAGGAGTGGGTCTCATGGTGGCAGGGACAATCTGGTTGGTTGGAAGCCTCAACCAGTTGCTCTTCTTATCAACCATTCATGTCCTGGCATTTGCCCTGGGCTGGGGAAACTCCAGAAGGAAAATGTCTTGTTTTCCCCTCAGTCCAATCAGATCTCACCATTTCCAAGCCTGAGCCCAGTGGCTCTCCATCAGCCTCATTCTCGCAGTAGATAATGCCATATGCTCCAGTGATCTGAGCTTCCAGCAGCCACAGACATAGCAAAAGGCTTCCATCACTTTCCCATTCAGTCTGTGGAAATGGCAAGTGCTCAATTCATTCTTTTTTTTTTTTTCTTTTTAGACAAAATTCTCGCTCTGTCAGACAATCAAGAGCAATCCTGGCTCACTATGACCTCCACCTCCCAGGCTCAAGCGATTCTCCTGTCTCAGCCTCCCAAGTAGCTGGGACTACAGGCGTGTGCCACCATGCCCGACTAATATTTGTATTTTTAGTAGAGATACAGTTTCACCATGCTGGCTAGGCTGGTCTCCAACTCCTGGCCTCAAGTGATCCACCCGCCTCAGCCTCCCAAAGTGCTGGGATTACAGATGTGAGCCACCGTACCCAGCCTGTTCTTGGCCGATTCTAGCATGGGAGTGGGTGGGTGGCATGAGGATGGAAAATGGGAGGAGTTGGAACAGAAGCTAAGGGCAGCCTGGGAAGGGGCTCGTTCAGGAGTTTAAATTTCGTTCTCCAAGCAAGAGGAATTCATCCGCCATGTTCAGCAGGGCAGAGTCATCACCAGTGTGTACTTTAGAAAATTAACTGCTGGCACTGAGGAGGATGGATTGAAAGGCAAGGCCCTGGCAGCAGGGCCTAGGCCAGGGCAGAGGAGAGGGGGCAGGTTCCAGGGAAACTCAGAAGCAGAAAGCCCTGAGTTTACTGAGGGGTTGAATGTAGGAGGGGAGGAAGGCAGCATGTAACATTTGCAGCTTGAGTGAATGGGTTGTGCTCCTTAACCAGGACAGAGAATTCTGGCAAAGAAGGCTGTGGACATGTTGGGCTCCAGGCTCACCATGCTAAAGGTGCAGTGGCTGTGGGACAGCTTGTCCAGTGGCCATAACACATGCCAGGCAGGTGCTTGAGAGGGGGTGTGGGGTGCCAGGATAGGTCATCAGCACACTCCACTAGGAGCAGAGGGGATAAAGTTATTAACAAAAATTAGCCGGGCACGGTGGCTTACACCTGTAATCCCAGCACTTTGGGAGGCCAAGGCAGGCGGAAGTCAGGAGTTCAACACCGGCCTGGCCAACACAGTGAAACCCCGTTTCTGCTAAAAATATGAAAATTAGCCGGGTGTGGTGGCATGAACCAGTAGTTCCAGCTACTGGGTAGGCTGAGGTGGAAGAATCGCTTGAACCTAGGAGGCAGAAGTTGCTGCGAGCAGAGATCGTGCCACTGCACTCCAGGCTGGGCGACAGAATGAGACTCCATCTCAAAAAAAAAGCAGTCTGCAAGTGGAGCCATGAGGGGCTGGTATCTGTACTCTGTTACCCCTGTGAGAACATCTGGAAAGAGGGGTTAGTCAGAAAGCTAGAGGACTCAGCCTTGGAGAAGCCCCTGTGGCAGGCAGAGCTGAAGAAATGAGGGCGTGGGTAAGGCTAGGAAGCCATGAGGGTGGGAATGATTTCAAGGGGGCATTAACAGCATCCAGGGCTGCAGTGGAGTGAAGGAGTGGGAGAGGGAGAAGGCCCATGGGTTGAAACAATGAGGAGCCTATAGGTGCCTCCCTGTGAAAATCATCTTCCCCTAGGATGACGGACAAGAAAGCCAGATTGCAGGAAGTTGAGGAGTGCATGGGGCTTGAAGAAGCAGAGTGGGTCTGGTTGCTTCTTAGAGGAGGCTGACTGATGATGCAGAAGAGAAAAACAGGGCAATGACTTGAGGGCAGTTCAGGGTTGGGGTCAGTTCTTGAGGGCAGGCTTCCTTAGAAGGGGGCATCCTGCTTTGGGAGGCTGAGGTGGGCGGATCATGAGGTCAAGAGTTAGAGACCAGCCTGTTCAATATGGTGAAACCCTGTTTCTACTAAAAAATACAAAAATTAGCTGGGCGTGGTGGTGCAGCTACTTGGGAGGCTGAGGCAGGAGAATTGCTTGAACCCAGGAGGCAGAGGTTTCAGTGAGCAGAGATATCCAGCCACTGCACTCCAGCCTGGGCGACAGAGCACGACTCCATCTCAAAAAAAAGGGAAGCATCTTGAAGTGTTTCTAGTTTTGAAGCAGAGGGGAGGAGAAAGGAGGAACTAACAGAGTCTCCTGAAGCACACAAGAGGTTGGGCTGGAGAGCAAAAGGGACATCTTATCTTTGGAAGAGCAGGGAAAATAGGGCCTGAACCAGACAGAAGTGGAGGAGTGAGGCAGGGAAAGAAAAGAAATGAACAGGATCTGATACCAGTAGAGTGCCAGGGAAGAGGCACAGGAGACTGAGGCTTCCAGCCTCTGAGCCAGAGGCAGATTCAGGAGAGTAGGAGGTGGCTTGGGTAGGGAAGAGCTCTGAGTCACCTTTAGCCTCCTTGAGGTATCTGGGACACCCGCAGGTGGCCCTCTGTAGGTGGCTGGTGTGAGGGGCTGGAGCCCTGGGAGCTCAGAGGCAGTGGTGGGAGTGGGTGGAGGTGTTTGGGGGTGAGGAGGTTGTGAGAGGCCGGGAAGGGGTCTGAGCAAAAGCTTCCAGAGGGACAGACCCCAAAGGACAAGTATGTTAGCAAAGCCTAAGAAAAATGTCCTTCAAGGAAGAGTGTTAGAGCAACTGGTTTTATCAATGACTATAATAATAAATTTAAAAATTTTACTAGCTGGGCGTGGTAGTACATGCCTGTAATCCCAGCTACTCGGGAGGCTTAGTCAGGAGAATTGCTTGAACCTGGGAGGTGGAGGTTGCAGTGAGCCAAGATTGCAGTACTGCACTCTAGCCTGGGCAACAGAGCGAGACTCCATCTCAAAAAAAATTTACGAGCAATCCACAGGCGAGTTCAAACATGGAAATCTCCAAGTTTGCAGTTGCACTTTCCTGGTCCTGAAATGCCACGGTGACAGGGATGAACTGCAGGGGGATCTTGCAAGTAAGCAGGAAAGTGACAGATGAACTGCACTGTGGGTAAGTATAAGGTAACACACTTGATAACATAATCTAGACTATACTGGCCGGGAGGACAAATCCTGAGCTCTCAGTTGCAACCTGGGAAAGGAGCCAGGAGTCAGCCTAGAGCATGGGTCAGTCCCTCCGGATTAAGAATCTTTAACCTGGGACTTGAAGACCATCCTCTGGGATTTCAAGGACCCTGCCTCCCTGGGAAATTGAATGCACCAGGGGATGAAGAAGTGTGGGGAGAGGGGAGCAGGAGAGAGGAGATCCACAGAGGGGTCTGGGAATCCAGTCCTGGAGTTCCGCTCAACATGCTAACCTAATGTTAGGCCTCCCGGAGGAGGGTGTGGTTCTGAGGTTTCTCCCCCTCCCAGTTTCCCAACTTGCTGAAGAAACTTACCCTTGACATGCAAATGATGGAAACACGTTGGTGTCTGGGGCACTTTGGTTTGCGGTTTTTACCATCAGCTGTCTCTGAAGCTGAGCGTGTCGATCTGTCTCAGCAAGGCTAGCAATTGCAAGCTCTCAGAGGAGCGAAGAGGGGACTATTCCTGGGGATCTGGGCCCAGCTGGGCAAATGGGTCCATAAGGCAGACTTTTCCAGGAGGAGGGTGCAGACCCTTTGCAAGTTGCCCAGAGATAGACTGAGATTGCCTCTGGCCGTCACCCTACTTAGACCCCCTAGGTAGCAGGGTGCTTGGTGGTAAACACCTGACCTAGGCTACCCACTCCCAAACTGGAGTCGGAAACGAAAGCACGTGGGAAAAGAATAGCAAATGTCAATTTCCCATTTATTAAACAAGTTCTTCCGTGGAAAATCTTCCCAGGGCTCAGCAGCCCTTGAAGTGCTCAGGGATGCTGGGGAGGTCGGGGGAGGAGGAAATGGGAGATGGCAGGTGGTGCCCGTCGGTGTGGACGAGTGATAGCTTTGATTTGTTCCCCCTTCCCACCATCTCCTGTGGCCTCAGCGTTTGATTTGGTTTCCTTTCCCGAGCCCTAACTCCAGGGAGCTGCCCCTCCCCCACACCTGTGTCCCAAGCCCCAGCTATGCGTCCTCGCCCGAGGTTCCTGGCACTGACCTGGAACCTGTCGGGCAGCCCTGCTCTTAGCTCCCCGCGGAGTCTCGGAGGTCTCAGGTCTCCTCCGCCCACCCTCTCCGCAGCTGCGAGGGGCAGGACGCCCGGCACCCGGCTCTGCCCGAGAGGCCGAGGCAGGCTTAAGCCTTCCTGCCCGCAAGCTGGGGAGTCACTGCGGCCGGGGCGGGAGGGACGCGGAGGGCATTTTCCCAGTCTTCACCAGGTGCTCCCCTCTCCGGCCCCCGCAACCGTATAGGTTTCCGGACCCCCAGGCCCGCTTCCCTCCTCTCTGGAAAGGAGTCGGGCGTGAGGAGAGGGCCCGGGGGCGCCGCAGCCTGGCCCCTGCCCCGCCCGCAGCCCCGCTCCTCCCCGCGAGGCCCCACTTGTGGTCCCGCCGGCAGCCGCTCAGGGACAGCTGCATTTCTCGCCGCCCGCCGCTAGGAAGCCGGCCTCGCCTCGCTTTCTCCGCCTCCCCGCGCCCCAGCCGCGCCGCCGCCGCCGAGCCCGGCCCCGCTGCCGCGGCCGCCGCGGATCGCAGCCCCTCCCCCGCCCGGCCCGCGGCCCGGCCCCTGCGGCCCGCGCGGAGCGGACTCGCGTGGTGCTGCCCGGTAAGACCCCCCAGCTCCTGCCGCTCCCGCCCGGCCCTGGGCGCGGTCCTCGCCGGCGCCCCGCACGCAATCCCGGCCCCGGCTCGGCGGCCCCACCTTCTCGGGACCCATCGCCCTGGCGCCGCCGGGAGGGCCGGGCCGTCGCGAGTTTGAGTCCCAGGGCTGTCGCCGCGGCTCCCCGGGAGCTCCGCGGGCGGCAGGTCCCAGCCCTCCCTTCCTTCCCGATCCCCCACCTCATCCCGGGCCCCGGGCGCTGGGAGCGTGCGGACATCTGGGGGCCGGGAGCGGGGCGCGCGATTAGACCGGTGGGCGCGGGCTGGTGCCGCGGGGAAGGGAGGCGAGGCCTCCCCGAGCCGGCGCCGCCCGTGTCCCTTCTCCCGCCGCTCCCCCTTTTGTGTGGGCGCCCCTCCCCGCGCTGCCCCGGCCTGGGGGCGCAGGCTGGGCGGCGACGGCAGGCGGGGGCGCTTGCTGGGAGCAGAGTGCCTTCCAGGGGGAGGGGAGCTTCGCTTCCTGCCCCGCCGTTGTCACAGGTCGGCTCAGCCTTTTTTGATCCCTCCCGTTCCCCTGGGAGCTGTGTCTCCCGTCAGCTCGGCCAGGGAAAGTTGGGAATGCGCTGTCCCCGCCCCTACCTCCCCGCCCCGCCGGCTCCAGAGCCCGGGGCTCTGAGCTCCAGGGGGCTGGTGTCGGCGTTTATTCATTCCGCCCTCTTCCTTTTCTCGGTCGCCTGGTCGCCCTACACCCAGCACTGGCCTGCCCATTTATTTTCCCCTTAAAAAAAGTTTTAGTTCCAAGAAAGGTACACTGAAATTGAATTCCTGGGAAGGAATGTGTTTTAAGGGGAGGGAGGGTTTAGATTTTCCTTTTCTTGGTGGAGTAGGTGAGGCGACTCCCTGTGAGTTTAGAAACAAGACGTCCTAGAGACGATAGAAGATACAAGACCATCTGCCGGGGCTCCCCACCCGATCCGCAGGCAGCTCTCATAGCCAGAGGAATGAGCCTTCAGTGGGTAATCCCGCAGCACCTGAGCCACCTGGACCAGGAGAAGGACTCACGGAGATGTTCTGGGCCTCTCACTCCTTTTCTTTATCGCCAGCTGTGCCTGAAGGAGGGGAGGGATCCCAGAAATTCTCTTATGGAGGAAGTCATCTCACCATGAGGTTGGAGCCCTGTTCGATCAAGTGTGAAGCTGGGTCCTCTCTGTTGTTGGGGGTCAGTGCCACTGGTACCTCAGTTTGAATGGAGGGTGCCATCTCTGGGATGGAGAGGTGCTGCTGGGAGAAACCTGACTTGGGTCTACAGGAAGCTGGAGCCTGTGCAGGAGGGTTGGGTGTGAAACCCCACTGTCCACTTTCTGCAGCTGGACAGGTCAGTACACAAGGGAAACAGGATGCTGCTACCGACCTGAACACATCCTTGAATGGAAGAGAGACCCTGGACAGCGAGGATGGCCCAGGGATGTTGATATGACTAGGGCTGTGTCCCCAGCTCCTGGGCCAGATCAACTAGGGCCAGAGGTTGGGGTCATGGGCTCCTTTGAGAATCTGGTGAAAGCTCTAACTCTTCTCCCTCCAAAATGCATGTGCATAGGGAAATACTTGCATTCAACACCATAGGGTTAATATACCCCCTTGGAACTAGGACCTCCACTGAGACCCCTGCCCTAGAGTTACTGGTCTGGTCTCGGCCATCAGAACATTTCCCTCCTTTTTGGCTGGTCAATGAATAATCCCAGGGTGCAAAGAGCAGACTGCTTCTAAGGTCTTTTCTCATGATCTTCCTGTGCCACTCTGGGCTTGTGGCCATGGAGACCTGGAGAGTGGACAGATCCCAGATCCCTACAGCTAGCTAGAGGATGACGGCAGTTGAGGTGGCCCTTTTCCAGGGGCTCATTTGGCTGTCTGTGTGGTGGGAAGACCCTGGGCACTGGGCTTAAGCCCACTGGGCTATTGAATTAGAGGTAAATAAAGAGATTTGGGAGGAGGTGGATATTCTGGCGTGTGAGCTCCAGGCCCTTTAAGAGCTCCAGCTTGTTCTTGGGGAAGTGGGATTGAGGTGCTTTAGTAGAGAATGTTAAGTGTGAAAGACTTAAGGAGGTCTGGGGGTGGAATTGTCCAAGGCTATCATCTGGGTATTGTCAGTTCCTTAGATTCCTTTGGACTCTTGAAGGCAAGTTGGGGACAGAGGGTGGCTGTCAATATCCCCAGTGCAGCCCAGAGGAGGCCTGGCCTGCCTTTTCTTTCTTACCCATAGCTCACTGGGCCCTGGGCTGCTGCACAGGTGTTTGTGGCATCTACACTTGCTAGGGATCTGGAAGAGCTATGGGAGGATCTGCCATGTGTGGCTTCTCTACCTTGGGATTGAGAAGTCTTCCTTAGGCTCAAGTCCCCCACAGACAGCTGTAGAGGATTTTTCTTTAATTAGAGAGCACAGTGTTTGGTATATGGCACCACTCACATTGGTATTCTTCCTTTAGAGCTTCCTACATTTGCTCTGGTAATAAGCAACAGAGCCAGGAGCATCCTAGAGCCTTGGGCACAGGAAGCTGGGTGTCTGACAGGGATCACCTCTGACTATCCACGGTGAACTGGAGGAGGTAGTGCTTTGGTTTTGCTGGCTCTTGCACTTACAGGAATTAAGAGCTGTAAAGGGTGTTGGAGGCTGGACATGGTGGCTCACATCTGTAATTCCAGCACTTTGGGAGGCCGAAATCACCTGAGGTCAGGAGTTTGAGACTAGCCTGGCCAACATGGTGAAACCCCATCTCTACTAAAAATACAAAAATTTGCTGGGTGTGGTGGCACATACTTGTAATCCCAGCTACTCAGGAGGCTGAGGCAGGAGAATTGCTTGAACCCAGGAGGTAGAGGTTGCAGTGAGCTGAGATTGCACCATTGCATTCCAACCTGGATGACAATAGCAAAACTCCTTCTCCAATAATAATAATAAAAGGCATTGGAGACCCTAAAGGGTTGTGGTCCAGTGGTCCCTGACTTGGGAATTGGAAGCGTCTTGGTGGCATGCAGAAGTCTTTTTACAGTGACTGATGATTCACTTTCTCCAGTGGCCATGACTTCTCAGTCTGCTGTGGCCCTGTCTACCATGGGTTGGTGAGTTCAGGATGCTAGCTGTGTTGGCTCATTCAGTGCTTCTTTGATCCCTTTGGCTTCCAGGCTCCCAGAACCTCTGATGTGTCAGAGTAATATTACGGACTCTTGATGATACAGCTAAATGTCTTATCTTAAAAGCAGGTCATAAATGATAAATGTGGTAACAGTCCTCGTAAACATAAACTCCCTTCTTATAAATGTGACCATTTCATTTCCATTGTGGCAGCACCAAGGGTCTTTGAGGAATTCTAGGTAGGCTAAAAAGGTTTGACTGGGCACGGTGGCTCACACCTATAATCCCAGCACTTTGGGAGGCCGAGGCAGGTGGATCACCTAAAGTCGGGAGTTCGAGACCAGCCTGGCAACATGGTGAAATCCTGTCTCTACTAAAATTACAAAAAATTAGCCTGGCATGATGGTACATACCGGTAATCCCAGCTACTCAGGAGGCTGAGGCAAGAGAATCACTTGAATTTGGGAGGCGGAGGTTGCAGTGAGCTGAGATCGCACCACTGCACTCCAGACTGGGCAATAGAGTGAGACTCTGTCACACACACAAAAAAAAGTTCCAACTCCACTGGTCTATGACTTCCACCTCCAGGAAGCAACTGAGTTATTTTGTGTACATTTTTATCATAGCTTAGTGGTTTAGGGTATAATATCTGCAGTAAGATATCCCCAGGTAGAATTCCAGCTCTCCGTCTTAATCTAAGACTTTGAAAGTGCCTGAGTTTCCTATATTTAGAAAGAGTTGGCCGGGCGCTGTGGCTCAGGTCTGTAATCCCAGCACTTTGGGAAGCCAAGGTGGGTGAATCACCTGAGGTCAGGAGTTTGAGACAAGCCTGGCCAACATGGTGAAACCCTGTCTCTACTGAAAAAAAAAAACAAAAATTAGCCAGGCGTGGTGGTGAGTGCCTGTAACCCTAGCTACTTGGGAGGGTCAGCACAAGAATCACTTGGACCCAGGAGGCGGAGGTTGCAGTTAGCTGAGATCATGCCACTGCACTCCAGCCCGGGCAACAGAGTGAGACTTTGTCTCAAAAAAAAAAAAAAAAAGAGTTAAAAGAGATCTCACAAATGCCAGACAAAGAGCAAGTGTTCATTAGATGGAAGCTATTATTATTATTATCATTTCTGCACAGGGGTATACAAGTTCTGAGGCTCATTATTAAGGAAAATCTTTGGTAAAAACTGTAGAGGCTGAGGATGGTTTTGGAAGAGTGGGAGGGGTTCGGGTGAGGCTCGTGAATGATGAGCAGAGGGGACTGAACAATGGAGACGGGGGTGGGGAGACTGAAATGTCATGGGTGACAGCTGAGCATATTTGGGGGCAGAATGACTCAGCATCTGTAGCCCTGCTGTGGAACCAACTCTTTTCCCTTTTCTTTGGAGAATTTGCCATATAAGCTGGGGGCAGGGGTGAGGAGGCATAACCAGTGAGGAGGGTTGAATGGCATAAAATTAATGCTAACATTGGTCCGGAGGAACAAGGCAGAGTTCCCAGAGGAAGGGAACCTAGTGAGAGGATGGGGGCAGGCCCAACAGGCAGTCATGAGTGCAAGCTGGCCAGGCACGGTGGCTCATGCCTGTAATCCCAGCACTTTGAGAGACTGAGGCTGGCAGATCGCTTGAACTCAGTAGTTCAAAACCAGGCTGGCCAACATCGTGAAACCCCATCTCTACAAAAAATACAAAAATTAGCTGGGTGTGGTGGCATGCATATGTAATCCCAGCTACTCAGGAGGGTGGGGTGGGAGGATCGCTTGAGGCCTGGGAGACCGAGGTTGCAGTGAGCTGAAATTGCACCACTGTATTCCAGCCTGGGCATCAGAGCCAGACCCTGTTTCAAAAATGAAAAAAAAAAAAATTCGGAGAGACCCTTACTAAGGCCAG